TCAGAAATAAGTTTATACTATTTGAATAAAGTTGTGTGATATCAAATAATTATCAATTTCAGTTTTAAGTAATTTTCAGGAACTAATTTTCATGAACTAATTTTAACAAAAGTTTTTTATGTAAATATAAATTAATCAAATGAACATTTAACAGAGAAAAAAGTATATATATAAAATAGAAATAAATAAAATTATGATAATAAGCGTGATTAAATTAAGTTATTTATATATTTTAAATGTATAAAGTATAAGTTTCAAAAGTCAATAGTGTTCCATTTAAAGTTATTTTTGGCTTTTGAATTACGTGTTCTATGTATCAAATTTTGAGAAAAAGGAATAAATTTATTATAATAGAATGAAATAACAAAATTATTGTATTAGTTACAAAAACTGCAAACAAAAAAAATAATATTAATAAATAAATAAATAAAGAAATACAAAAATATTCATCACACAAAACCCTGCTTAATCTTAAAGTACTGTTTCAGCAGTAAAAATATTTGATTTTATTCAATTAAATCTCTTGCTTGATTTAATAAAAGTCTGTACTTCCTTAAAAAGAATTTCATTTTCGGATTCAGATCACCCTTCTATTCCAAAAAAAAAGAGTTTTCGTACACTAAGAGGATGAAAAGATCTTGTATTTAAGAACAATGTTCTTCTTTGTTCACTGTATAATTTGCATTTAAAAAAATAGTGTTCTGAATTTTCAATGTGTGCTCCACATATACAAGATGGACTTGAAACAATGTGATTATCATATACATCCGAATTAAGGTTACTGCAGTTGTTTCTTAAACGAGTATGCTGTATAGTAGAGAAGCGTTCACCTTTAATGAAAAATGAAGGGACCGATGGGGATTTAAATATTTTTTTAATGTTTGCTTTAAAGGAATGGAGGGATGCTGATTCACGTACATTAATTGGAAGTTTGTTCCGTAGTTGTAGTGCTGATGGTAAAACGGATTTCGAATAAATTTCTGTTCTTCTGACAAATGATGCGCAGTCTTGATTGTTTCTTAAAGAATATGGGTTTTCATGTGCATATTGTACAGATGGGGGAAATAATTGTATTAAATAAAGTGGTAATAAATTGGTTTTGCCTTTGTATATTAAAACTAATTTTTGAATATGTCTCCTATCTGAAAGCAAACCCAACCTATTTCTGTTAATAATGTTTGTATAGTAACTGATCTTGTCAATCCTGTAACAACACGGGCAGCTACATATTGAATTTTTTCTAATGTTTCTTTCTCGTATTGCGCACAGTTATCCCAGACTAAAGACGCGTATTCTAAATGTGGCCGTTAATATGATACATATATATTATTAAGTGATTCTCTTTTAATTTTGAATTTGAGCATTTTCATGGAACCGAGTATTTTAGAGGCTTTAGATACTATGTTAGATATATGTTGATGCCAAGACCCATCTTGACTAAATGTGACCCCAAGATGTTTATGATGTTCGACAAAATTGAGTTGTACATTATCGAAAAATAATTTTGGTTTGATCATATTAAAGAAAGAAAAAAACATTGCTTCGGTTTTGCCGGATTGAAATTGACTAACCATTGCTTAGACCAACTTGTTATTGTCGCTAGATCCCTGTTTAACGTTTCTTCCATAAAGGTTATGTTTTTTGAGGACACAGAAAGAGAACTGTCGTCAGCGAAAAGTCTAGTAATACTTAAGAGCGAGTCTGCTATGTCATTGACATAAATTAAAAATAATAAAGGACCAAGTACCGAGCCTTGAGGAACGCCCCCTTCTAGAGTTGATAAAGAAGAAAATGTCGAAGATACAAAAACTTTTTGGGTTCTGTTATTTAAGTAGTCTTTTAACCATGTATTTAGTTTCCCTTGTATACCGTATTGCTTTACTTGGAAGATGAGACCAGAATGCCAAACTCTATCGAATGCTTTCGAAATGTCACAAAAAATAATACAAGTAGATTCTTTGCTGTCAAATGCTTTGCAAATTTGGTTATATAACATCAATAAGTTGGTACTCTGTAGAATGACCTGGCAAAAACCCAGACTGATTTTGATATATTAAAGAATTTGTATGGAGATAATTATACATATGTTTAAAAATTATGCGTTCCATTACTTTACCAACACAGCTTATAAATGAAATTGGTCTATAATTTGGTGGTTCATCTTTATTACCCTTTTTAAAAAGAGGCATAACGTGTGCAAGTTTCCAACTGCTAGGATAGTTACCTTCATTTAACGAATGATTAAAAAGTATACACAGTGGAATACATAAGGTTTCCGAAGTTTCTTTCAACATTTTATGGCTTATTTCGTCTGGCCCAGAAGCTATATTTATAACTAAATTGGTTAATACATCTTTTATTTCTTGTTCACAAATATTAAAGTCTTCTAATTTTGAGTTTGTTTTAAAACTAAAATCTGAAAGTTAATCAAACGTTCCATGAACGTTCTTAAACGTTCTTCAGCGTTTGAGATTTAAACGTTGAAGAACGCTGGTCTGAGTGAGAACTTTTGTGCATGTTCAAAACTTTTTTTCCGGCCAGCGTTGTACGCCGATTCCAGGCGATTACTGATGTTCACTGGCGTTCACACAACGTTCTTCTGGCGCTATCCCAGCAACCATTGGCGACTACCAACGTTTCTTAAAACGTCATAGAACGCTGATTGGAACGTCATGGTGTGACGGCCACATAATGTAAAGACTCAATTAAACCGAGTGTGCAATTTTCATGTAATTTATTTGCGAGAAATGACCCTTTTTCCAGAGTTGTATGTATGAAATATTTCTATGGAGAAAATCAAAAGTATTCTTTAAGTCAACAAAGGCAAACTATTATGTACCATTGACAGCTAAGATACTTATTGACAACAGAATATGTTCCTGTATAACCAGTTAAAGGCTCACAATTAGTACTGCATGCATATACGTATAAGATGTCAGTCTTTTATTTAACTTTTGATTTGTGACAAATTTGTAATGCCTTATTTCTAACAGGGTGGGTGATCACGCGACATTTGTTTACTGTAAAATCTGGTCATCGCAAGTGGTTTTTGCTATTTTTTCGCTCTATCTTTCAGTATTTGAAACATACTCCATGCTCCAATGTAGCACTTGTACTTTCCCGATATGATTTGAGAAATTGTGACACATATTTTTATCAAAATATTGTCTCATATAAAAAAAACCTGCAAGCTTAATACGAAAAGAAAAGAGCTATTATAACAATGGAACGTTATATAACATTTGAATCGGCAAATATTTCCCTTGAACATGGTATATGTTTATTATTTAAATATTGAAAGAATAAACGAATATCCTCTAGTGGTGACCTTAACAGAAGTCCTTACTCTCGATCATAACCTGAATGTACACATAAAATTGAAAGAAGTATATATCTTTCATTTATTATTATTACTATCATTTTTTATTATTATTAAAACTATCATTATCATTACTATTTATTTTATTATTATTCTATTACTGTTTTAAATAACTCTGTCGGTATTTATATGTTTACATTGTTTATTTATTCAACAGAACTTCTTGAATGCTTAACGAATGACATTTTTCTTTTTATAGAGGAGAAATGCGACACCCTAAATAGTACAAAGGAATAATACATAAACGCTAACTAGTAACGAGTATGACAAAGTCTATACGCATTTTTTTTATTGAATCCTATATTTACATTGCCCCTTTGAAGTCAATTATAATAGGTGTTATTAATTCTTTCAATTCTAAATATATGAATAGATAAAAAATATTCAATAGTCCAACTCTGACGTGTTTTGCTTATCGAATAAAACCAATGGTTACAATAACAAACACACTCCCGTATTTTTACGGAAATTCCCTTATATTTTAACATGTCCTCATATATATTCTCTATGATCTGTTTACACTGGTTATTCACAATAGTGTTGTCTGTTGTGAAGTTAACCTGTCATTTCATGACATTAAAAGTGAATAACGGATACATTATCATGTAACGTTCAAATTATAAACGTATGTGAAATTCTATATTTAATTAGAGCCTTTTTGGTGCAAACACGGGTTAAAGTATGACGGGCGGGTGGAAAGATATTTTTTATCTAGTTGTTAATACTTTAGAGCACAATGAAATACTGACATGACGTTATCACGTTAGAACTTAATATCAGTTTAAGCGTATAGTCGCTGTAATGTTTTCAACTTATTAGGCTATGATTAAGTTTGAAATTGTCTGAAGCAGTTTACTTATAATATCTCAAAAATTTGCTTTTACCTTATAAAAATGTTAACATACATGTATTTTCATTGTTCTAATGTTTGTTATGTTTTTCATATTCACTTAAAAGGCTCTTCTCAGAGGACACGTATATCTACTTTTAATGTGTTCCAAAATTAGAAAGAAATAGAGAAGAACCTGTTATGTCGATAAAACACGTCACTTTTCAGAAAATTATTAGGTCACTTTCTTAAAATATAATAACTGTCAAAATGGAAGCTCATACTGTTTAAGATTAATGTTATTTGTTTTGTTACAAAAGATGATGTCTGGTAAAGACTGATGTGAAGGTCACAATGGACAGTGTGAGAGATTTAACTGCAATGTAAGCGTTTAACATATTACAAATTCGAGTATTTTTGGTCAACTGTTTGAAAAAAAATTAAATTCTGAGGGCTTTAATCTTTTCAAATAGGAAAATGTTTGATATTGGAAACCTTCATACACAACGTTTATAAATTTATCATAAATTTAATTTTGATGATAGCACCTGACGGGAAAAAAAACATTTTAATTACAAATAAGATCAGAATGTAATATAATTTGACTATTCAATTGAACTTCCTTTAGGTTAATTTTGTAAATATTAAATATATGTATATTGTATTCAAACGCAAAAGCAAAGGCAATGTATATGAAAAAATCCTTTCCCGCCGCTTTAATTACGAAATTAAGAGATAAAAATTATATTATGTATTAAATTATTATTTTTATATCACTTAATTCTTAGCCTTATGGAGATGTATTTTCTGTCTGTTTTGTATTGAGACCACAATTTTTTAAACATTTCACTGAAATATCAAAACTATTCCGTAAATGCATACTAATAGAACGAAGCGAAACATAAAAGGACACTTGAAAAAGCTTTACAAGTTAATACAAGTAACACAAGTGTTATCTGGAGTAAGTAAATCACTGAAATTACATATCATTATAACAAAGTATCAGTATCAGACAAACAGAATTTCAATGTTGCCTTCATACAACAGTTGACCTCTCCATGTTACTGACTTGTATTGGGTCCTGTTCTTTTTTTTTATCTCACATTCTTTCGTCTAAGCTTATAGCTTGTTCAATAATTATGGGAAATCGTTCAAAATGCATTGAAGCACTTTTATCTTTTAAACGGATAAATGAAAAATAAACGCTTACTATCACGCTAACCTTTTATGAAATGTACATAATTAATCTAGTGGAACCGAATGAGAAACACATATTAATCAATCTTTTAAAAAATATATATACTTTATTATGTATGGATTAAAACTTGGTAGGTTATGAAATTCGTTCGTCCTTGTCAGCTTCAGAATACAGTCAGGATTTTATAGTCCAGAACAATCACATCGAAACACATATGCGCCAAGATCAGACTGCTACAATCGCAATGGTATGTAACACATAATAATACCGTCAATAAGTTTGAATAACATTAACTGCCTTGTAGTTATCAAATGTATGCGTACATATATAATAATTAAAAATCAATCAGAACAAAAAAACAACCTACAATACTACTATGTTTTTTACTATTGACAATGTGTAAATCTCAGTAAGATCATATTGTAACTTGCGCTCCGCTACGTTTCGCTAGGTAAGGAACGGAAACGATCTTATCTACGAACCAACTGCTTCTGAAAATGTTAATTTGTTAATGTTATTCAAGAAGACGTGCTCATAAAAGCTCTAATAGTTATTAAATTCAAGTATATAACGCTAAAATTGTCAGCATGTAACGGGTAAAATATTTCTTTGTAAACTTTGTTAACATTTTACATTAAGAAAAAGAATAGAAATATCGCTAAATCTACTGACATTAGCAGTATATTGTCATTCTGATACCCCATATAGTTCATGTGCGTTAAACGAAGACATTAAAATATTTAGGTTAAACATATCTCTGGGTAGCGAAAGAACATAACCATTTAATATTTTTTTGTAGTAAAGAAGTATTAATTTTAGCTACCGCTTTACACCCTTTAAATGTATACAATTTGCTTAATTTCAAATATAAATAGCTTTAGCTTTGATAACATTATTTTCAGCCGACAGTGGTTATTCATCTCGCGTTGGTACATCTCATGGTGGTAAGTAAATTTTAAGATCATATTTATATGTAACACTTATAAAATGACATTGTTAAGAAGAATTTAAAATTCATTTTAATTTTACTGTACAAAATGCGTTATTGATTACTAAATAAATTGTGAAGTCGGTAGTAAAGGATCATTTAGATATAAGAGCAGACTTGTGTATCTAGCAAGAGACTACAGTTTATGTCATTGTATTTTACAGTTTATGATAATAATAGCATAATAACTAATTATTATTTCAGATTATTATTCTGAACTGGGCTCTTCAAATACTTTTGAATCATCATACAAACAAAATGTAGGTAGATATTAGAAGCAAAAGTTTGAATTATATCTATTATATAACACTAAAATCTATATTCATCCATAGGAAGATATAGTTCAATACCTTTCTTAACATTTGTCATTTCTTGACATAGAATGTTTATTAAGATTGAGGTATCTGATTTGGTTTCTGCTTCCAAACATTGATCATGCAAAGATGGCTACGGAAACCATGAGTCATGTGCTACTAACTGAAAACATACATTTACCATTTACGCTTATACAACGGCAGTAAAGAGAAATCTTACTTTTTAATCTTAAGTCCTAATTGCTATATTTCTTTGTCTGTTTCATTTAAAACAATTCCTGTAAACAAATACACCTGGTGAAGACTTTTGAGTCGAAACGTTGTGTTTGTTTTTAAATAAAACAATATATTTTTTAATTGAACCTAGGGTTGATTTATATATTTAAACTTACATATTTTTCTTTCAGAAAATTACAATCGAGGCACTCTGCGTTCACTACAAATTTCTCAAGTCTGAGATAGATCCAAAGGAAGTTGAAGATTATCTGTATGAATTGGAAGTAATAGACGACGAAATATTGGAGAAGTGTAATGCAGCTACAAACAGAAGAAGGAGGGTTGATATTCTTGTGAAGCATGTGTTTAAGATTGCTAAATGGAACAACGATAAGATTTTGAAGCAGTTTGAGAAGTCTCTTATACGCACAAACCAAGGCTATGTAGTAGACAAAATAACAGAACCTTTTTCAGGTTTCTAAATAAGCATTGTTCCAAAGGAAATATTTATTTTAACGAGATGTTTTTTTTTCCTGTCTTTTCATCAATCTTTTGTTTGTGTATCATAATGTAGTTCATAAAATATTAAATATATCATATAATTATACTTTAGGAGAAATAAATATCTATTTTGTTATGAAGATTTGTTGCATAAAATAATTCATAAAAACGTAACCCGTTCAGAACTTTTCTATCTGTTGATATTGTTACAGAACTCAATGTAAAAGACACTATACCAAATGCACAATTGAAAGGTTTCATTCACGAAATGGAGAGTTGTATTTTTGAAAACGTTGACCCTAGAAACTTCATTGATGATCTTATAACTGAGGGAGCTATAACTTTTGACGAACATGAGGACATATCACAACATCCATTTAGGAGGGACAGGATCTCATTTTATATGAATAAAGTGAAACTGGCTGTCAGGTCTACAAATAATGAGATTTGTCTTAGAAAGCTTATTCTTCCAATGATCAATTTTTATCCAAAAATCTTTGAAGAATACGAGAATGGATCACACCGGAACCCTACGAACGGTAATAATTTTAATCATATTTTTAATGATATTTCTTCAAATGGTAATTTTAATAATATTTTAATGATATTTCCTGTTTTTATGATTTGCATGAATGTTGTTCTTTGTAAATACATCTACACCACTGTACATACATTTTTTTCATTTATCACAGTTTTATTGCAATTTTATTATCACTTTAGTGCCGCTAGTGAAACTTGATTCCTTGGTGCAAGTGAGATGTCATCTTAAAGGAAAAAGAGGAAATTGTGATTTTCGGCAGATAGAACGCAATTGTGTCCATAATTTCTATTCCGACCAATCTAAATATAAAAACTGGCTCGAAAACATGATCGAGGAATGTATATGCAGTTTTGAAAAATTAACAATTGCCTCAGTTGTAATTCAATTAAGGACGAAGGGTTCTGACTCACTTTCCCGAATTATCAAAGCATGTGAAGATGGCAAGGCAAAGCAATGGATAATTTCACTTCTTGATAAAGAAGACTTGAAACAAATGAAGAAAATGCAAGGGACAAAGATGCAAATAAAAATTCATGTATATGAAAGGAGAAATGAACAGTGCGCACAACAAGAACATGGTAAGTAAACTTTTTAGCAGCTTATTTCATGTACAAAATAGATATGTCGATGTGACCTGTCTATACTTTGTCATGGTAAAGAACGCACATCGAGTTTATCTCAGTTTTAAGCGTAATATAACGATCTTGTTATCTATGTAATTCATAACCAAAAACAATGTTGATATTGGTATGTGTAATATTAAAATTTTGATATCTCTAAAAACTATTAAACAATTGCTTTTCAGACTGTCTTTGCACACTAAATCGGAACAGCATACTCTGTAACTACAATCTGATTCAAGAAAACATACAAGATATTGATGATGTTTTGGAAAATATGTGCCAACTTAAGCTACCTGGGTATGAACAGTTTGAGTCTTTCATGCGGCGATCAGTCCCTAAAAAGCGGATCGACTATCTATTGGATTACCTTCTTCAAAGGGATACTCCAAAAATATACTTTTGTATCTTACAAAAATACATACAGAGGTCTATGAGTCCTGATGTTATCAAGACAATATTAAAAGGTTGGTTTATGATCTTTTATTGTTTTTGTTATCCTTATATATAAATATTCATACTTATGATTTATGGCAATTACTATGAAAATCCGTTAAATTGACAACTTTTGAAATGGGAAAGGACTCTCATGCCATTGCTCATGTATATCATCTGAGCAAGAATGATGTAACAATGATCAGTAAAACTAAAATCAGTAAATACTTTTTCAAACTGAACACTATGTCTGAAACAATAACTGCACTTCGGAGACGTATTCCTTTTACGTCATACACAAATTAATTGATTTTTTATTCATCTATCTGATTATGAAAGAATTTATAAACGGAGCTTCTATACAGATTCATAGCCGCTCTTTTGTATGCCCTCGTACATTTACATAGATTGTTTTCTATTTTTTTTTGTTTAACTAACGAAAAATTTGTATAAATACCATTTTTTAAATGACAGAAATATTCAAAAGTATGTTAAATCATTTATCTGGAATAGTTCAAATCATTTAGATGACCAATCAAGAATGATGCAGTTAGACAAAGAAGATATATGGAAGCACGAAGATTATCTTCTGGATGAGTTAGACATAAGATTTTTCCATTTGTCGTGTTTTCAAAAAGAAGCAAACACTTCAAACAAGTTAAAAACTGAACTATTTGAATCCAAGGTTAGAGAAGAAAGAGTTGGATTGTTTCTCCGTTATCTTAGAGAGGAAAACGATATAACGTGGTTTTTAAATAAGCTAAAAGAATCACAAAAATACATTTGGGATGTGATTGTGTCTGGTAAACACAGCATAGAATCATCGGAAAGAGGTAAAGTTGCTGAACTTTATTCATTTTTATCACAAAAAGATTAACAATTTTACAAATTCTTCATTTGTAATGATCAGTTGTAATTTCTCATGATTGTTTAAGGTACGTCCATGTTTCATGTGTTTACTGGTTCAATGAACTTTTGTTGAACTACTTATCTAATTTTACTTCTTAAATCGACTTTTGTATTATTTGTTCTAGATCTTCAAGCTGTTAATATTATGAACGATCATATTGTTGAAGAAATTGATCCTCTTCATTTGAAACAAAGGATATCGATAGTGACAGCACGAAAATTACGTTTTGATGATTTTGAAGAAGTGACAAGTCGCCGAGAAAGAGCACAGTTTTTTATTAATAGATTATCCGTTGACACCATGGATGAAGTGTTGATAGCAATGCGAAGAAGTGGATATGAACGCATCGTCGATGAAATAAAAGCAGGTACTTGACATTTAATACTCAATGTTAATATCGGTTTTTAAACCAATATTTTTTGATGAATTTTAAAACATCACTCGGGGTTTTAGTAGAATAAATTTTGATTGAGCACTCTTTTAATGGATATAATGACCACAATTAAGAGTTTACTTCCCATACACATATTTATATTTCAGGCTCGCTATCAAAAGAGTATAGATGTCCTAGACTGTCACATCAAACATATGAAGAAAAATGCGTATTTCATAGCCAGATGGAAATACACTTTGACTTGACAGACTTTAAATGTAAGTATATCTACAAATATTGATATCTGCTGACATTTGTTAATTTGTTTATGTCATACATACCAAAACAATATTCATGTGTATAATATTAGGGAAAAGACTTCGAAAGTGTTAATACAAATACATATTGTTTTCGATTGCTATATTTGATAAAGCACGTTTGATCTAAAAATAATGTGACAGAATATTGTTTTCAAAGTTGTAGGTCAAGACGTAAAGAGCTTTGATTTAGATGGAGCACATCCAGTTTCGGTAGATATTTATGAAGACAAGACAGAACCAAGTTTGAAAAACTTTGAACGCAGGGACGATAAACCCTTTAAAACATTTAAAAGGTATGCTTTTGATTTCTTAACGACTGATCTTTTATTAATGAGTAAACATGTATATGTTATAAGTTACATCGGGTACCTGCTCTGACATCACAAGCAGCAGCATACCTTGTTAGGTCCCTCCGTGACTAAGTGGTTAAAGTAGCCGACATCTAATCACTTGCCTCACATTGCAGTTGGTACGAATCCCATCAGGGTTTAGGAATCTAACATGTAATGGAGCAATTCATCTAGCTCATGAAAGCTTGGTGGTTCTACTCAAGTGCCTTTTTGAGTCTGAAATAATGCACGAAGGGGCTCCCGAGATCTTCCCTCATCAGTAGTGCTGGATAATCTTCGTATATACAGCGTCAGCGCAACTTAAAATCAAACAAATAAATATGTCCGTATAAGATTTATTTCGTTACTTTTATTTTACTAGTCTGTTTTTATATTTCACAGACAGATATGTAATGAATCTTCTAGGGAAACCGAGAGTGGATTTTTATCTATATCTGAAGAAGCAACGTCTATCAATGGAGTTCCTGAAATACAAGAATTTGAAGACGAAGGCATACACAGTTGGCATTCAGGATCATCTTCTGTTAATGATAGTAATCAGACATTTAGATGTACATTAATGTTATTTTAAAATTATATTTTTTCAACAAATTAATGTTAATGATGATAATTTTAAAAGACAATCTAACAGTTTGTTTTGAAAGATTAAGCATCGTTACCTAAATTTAAATGAAAGAAAAGCACATCAAAACTTAGATGAATGTTAAATACTATATTCTTTGAATTATAGGCGTCAAGTGCAAAACATATGAACATGATGCTGTTGACTACGAAAAGAAAATATGTGTACAAAGTCGGTCAATTAAATATCCATCAAGACCTAGCTTTTCTAATGGTTCAGTTTTTCAAAGAAGACGTTTTAACCAACCCTGTATTGTGCCAAAGATACATATTGGCGCTCTATTTAGACCGGAGCGACCAAGGGTGCCATTAGGTGTGTCTCGTATCATTTTTTCTATCATTCAAAGTAAGAATTCAATAAATAAGATATTAATGGCAAATGCGCTTAAAACTACATTAAGATATTAATGGCAAATGCGCTTAAAACTACATTTTTAAACAATATTGAATGGCGTGTTGGAATTTAAAAAGTAAAGTATTTAAGGAAGTACATGTGAAGGTTGCTGGGGATGCACTGCCAGTGATATATTTTGTACTGTTAATTTTCCAACTGGCACATATTTTGATATGACATTATGATAATCATTTACATAAGATATGGTAACTTTACATTTAAGCCCTCTCCTCACAGACAAGTGTTCGGATTAGAAAAGTAAATTATTCATCCTCGAGTCCATATTTACTTTCAAAAAGAGATGGTACAAAGAATACAAATAGCGGATTGAAACTTGGTGAATATAAAATTAAATTCAACGATTGTAACGACTTTGTTTGTAATAAAACTAACTGGACGCATACAAACAAGTCTTGTAGCTTTAAGAAATGCACTAAGTACGACAATACCAAAAGCAGCCTATTCGTTGTTTTATTTTTATTAGTATGCTTCATACAACATAGGTAGCGATAACTTTATACATACATTTATAAGTTATTCGTTTGCAATTTCATTTTTGCTTTCTGTTTAAATGTATAATTATCTAATAATTTACAATGTCGTATTTATAATAGTTTTTATCATAATAATCGCATTGCTTCAACATCTTTATTCAATCTTTTTTTCGTTTACATAGCAAAACAGGATGATTTAAAGTTTGTTAGCATCACAGGATCTTAGTTTCTTCAATTAAAGATATTTGCTGAATTATTTAATCTTTAACATATTGCTGTGCGTTTTGTTGAACTTAAGATCATTAAGTTTTCTGTATTACTTTTCAGAGAGACAATGGCCGATGCAATCTTTGCGGAGGACGAGTGTATTAAATAGGCTAGTTTTGGCTAGACAAACTGCGAAGGAGACAAAACGCAATTTTAATATTAACTCTTTTGTTCTTTCTAGACACTTTGATAAGTTGTGTTCGATACCTTCCACAAATCCCGAAGTTTAGCTCTTATCGGCGGGCGAAACAAGAAACATGTGTAAATATATTGACCTATATACTTATCATAAATATACCCATCTTCTGATCATACGTGGACCCGTCGTATTGTCGTACATGCACTTATCCTAAGGTCATACATAGACCCGCCTCATGGTCATACATGGACTTATCTTACGGTCATACATAGAGCCATCTCCTGGTTGTACATAAATTGTCTTGCGTTCATACATAGAGCCATTTCATGGTCCTACATGCACTTATCACACGGTCATACATAGACCAGTTTTCTGGTGGTACATAGACTTATCTAACGGCCATACATAGAATGGTCTCCTGGTAGTACATAGACTTATCTAACAGTCATACATATACCCATCTCCTGGCCGTACATGGACTTATCTTCTGGTCACACATAGAGCCATCTAATGGTCGTACACTGACCCATCTCCTGACTATACATGAACTCATTTTCTTGTCACATATGGATTCATCTCATGGATATGCATGGTCTAATATGCACTTCTTAATAGGGCACATGTGACCTTATCCTTATCTCGAGGCTATATACTGACTTATCTCCCAGAAATAATAATGTCGTTTTATACATAAGAACGTCTATCTTGTGGCCAAATATGGACTTCTTTATACTGATTACGTGCCATATGCGGAATAGTTGAAAGAATGTTGTGTTTTACTGATTCTCATTAAAAAATTTGTAAAACAATAATATGTCTGGAATAGAAGAAAGGTGCTTTGAATTTTCGCTTCATCATACTTTTTTTTGTTTCATAAAACAAAGATGTACTATAACCTGTCTCATATATGAATTTAATCGTACGGTGTGTTTGCAAATATTAACTTTAGAAATATACACATATTTCCAAATATAGCATTGACCGGTATATATTGGGTAATGCAAATGTACTTTATATATGAAACATCTGTCTTGGTTCATCTTCTTTTCATAGTATATTCATTAACGTTGTTGTTTTTTTAATCACTTTTCAATTTCGGATAATGCATATTTGTTGCCTAATTTATTAAATAAATCGCATCTGTTACTTCCATGTTCCTTGTCTGGCTCAAAATTGAACTTTTATTTTTATCATTCTCTTTGTTGCGTATGAAAATTTATTTATTGATTAGTTTTTATAATTGAAATTACTGTTATTAGTTTAGTATTTTTATGCCCCCCCCTTCGAAGAAGAGGGGGTATATTGTTTTGCTAATGTTGGTCGGTCTGTCTGTCTGTCTGTCTGTCGGTCCGTCGGTCCGTCCGTCGGTCTGTCGGTAGACCACATGGTTTCCGCTGATTATCTTGAAAAGTATTTATCACAAAGTCTTCATATTTAACATAGTGATTGGTCATGACTAGTAGATGACCCCTATTGAGTTTGGGGTCACTAGGTCAAAGGTCAAGGTCACAGGGGCTTTAAATGTCAAAATGGTTTCCGCTGATTATCTTGAAAAGTATGTATCACAAAGTCTTCATATTTCACCTAGTTATTGGTCATCACTAGTAGATGACCCCTATTGATTTTGGGGTCACTAGGTCAAAGGTGAAGGTCAAAGGGGCCTTAAATGTCAAAATGGTTCCCGCTGATAATCTTGAAAAGTATGTATCACAAAGTCTTCATATTTCACACAGTGATTGGTCATCACTAGTAGATGATTCCTTTTGATTTTGGGGTCACTAGGTCAAAGGTCAAGGTCACAAAAGCCTTAAATGTCAAAATGGTTTCCGCTGATTATCTTAAAAAGTATGTATCACAAAGTCTTCATATTTCACATAGTGATTGGTCATGACTAGTAGATGATCCCTATTGATTTTGGTGTCACTAGGTCAAAGGTCAAGGTCACAGGGACCTTAAATGTCAAAATGGTTTCCGCTGATTATCTTGAAAAGTATGTATCACAAAGTCTTCATATTTCACACAGTGGTTGGTCATAACTAGTAGATGACCCCTATTGATTTTGGGTCACTAGGTCAAAGGTCAATGTCACATGGGCTTTAAATGTCAAAATGGTTTCCGCTGATTATCTTGAAAAGTATGTATCACAAAGTCTTTAATATTTAACATAGTGATTGGTCATGACTAGTAGATGACCCCTATTGATTTTGGGGTCACTAGGTCAAAGGTCAAGGTCACAGGGGCCTTAAATGTTCAAAATGGTTTCCGCTGATTATCTTGAAAAGTATGTATCACAAAGTCTTCATATTTCACCTAGTTATTGTCATCACTAGTAGATGACCTCTTTTGATTTTGGGGTCACTAGGTCAAAGGTCAAGGTCACAGGGACCTTAAAATGTCAAAATGGTTTCCGCTGATTATCTTGAAAAGTATGTATCACAAAGTCTTCATATTTCACATAGTGATTGGTCATAACTAGTAGATGACCCCTATTGATTTTGGGGTCACTAGGTCAAAGGTCAAGGTCACAGGGGCCTTAAATGTCAAAATGGTTTCCGCTGATTATCTTGAAAAGTATGTATCACAAAGTCTTCATATTTCACACAGTGGTTGGCCATAACTAGTAGATGACCCCTATTGATTTTGGGGTCACTAGGTCAAAGGTCAATGTCACATGGGCTTTAAATGTCAAAATGGTTTCCGCTGATTATCTTGAAAAGTATGTATCACAAAGTCTTCATATTTGACACAGTGATTGGTCATGACTAGTAGATGACCCCTATTGATTTTGGGGTCACTAGGTCAAAGGTCAAGGTCGCAGGGGCCTTAAATGTCAAAATGGTTTCCGCTGATTATCTTGAAAAGTATGTATCACAAAGTCTTCATATTTCACATAGTGATTGGTCATCACTAGTAGATGACCCCTTTTGATTTTGGGGTCACTAGGTCAAAGGTCAAGGTCACAGGGACCTTAAAATGTCAAAATGGTTTCCGCTGATTATCTTGAAAAGTATGTATCACAAAGTCTTCATATTTCACATAGTGATTGGTCATAACTAGTAGATGACCCCTATTGATTTTGGGGTCACTAGGTCAAAGGTCAAGGTCACAGGGGCCTTAAATGTCAAAAGGGTTTCCGCTGATTATCTTGAAAAAGTATTCATCACAAAGTCTTCATATTTCACCTAGTTATTGGTCATAAGTAGTAGATGACCTCTATTGATTTAGGGGTCATTAGGTCAAAGGTCAATGTCACATGGGCCTTAAATGTCAAAATGGTTTCCGTTGATTTTTCCATAATTGAACACTTCCATGTACCCATTTTTGGCAAGTTTCTGTAATAAAATTACCAATTATGTGAGTCAGTGGCTAGAAAGGGGGGTATATGTGTCGTTCGACATTCTTGTAGTATTTGATCTTGGACTAACTAACAATTTATTAACATCTTGTAATTTAAGCTGATGAACAAATATTTTCATCTGTAAATTGTGAATAAATGTTGCTCAATAATAGTTTAAACAGACCTAACATGTAGAAACATGCTCGATGGTATTTGAGGTTCCCATTTCAGTTGAATTTCTCCCAGTTAAGTTTTCCTGTTGCGTTAAACGAGCTATTGTAATCGCTTTATGATGTGAATTGAGCAATTTCCTGCAGTACTTAAGATGAAGATACGTATGTCAATTTTATTGAAACGTTGTGCAAAGTAACCCGGACACAAACAGTTTCAATAATCCCATACAAAAAGGTTCCGAATGTTCCATTCCAATCTGGAAAAATATGTTTGCATAATTATGTATTGTTTGGTATTGATTAATGATTTAATTATCGTGAATATTAACAAAATTGAATATGTGGTTATATCTTTCATCTGTATTATTTTATTAACATATTTGAATTGAAATTATACTTTCATCATCATATTTATACATTTTAAAAACATATAATCCTAGCATTACAAATGCTAGTAAAGTGATGATATGACACTTGGGTATCACTTTTTTTATTTAAGTATTAAAATTAGTGTAGCAGGTTGTTTCCACGTCTTTGTTAATATTTTATAGTTGTTTATGTTATATCTAATGTCACTCAGATTGTGATTATTATTTCCCTTCTTTTTATTTCGATTCAAAATAATAATTTATTATATTTTGATACGAAATTTAAAAAGAAGAAAAAAAATATTTTGGATTTTTGAAATTTTATGTAAACTTAATGATTGAAGTAATGATGTAATGATGTAATAATGTAAGGTCTGACTTGAAAAGTAAAAAAATGTATATTTAGGAAAATTCATCTTTGATTAATTTATACACATAAAATATTTAAAATTTGAATATGTTGATTAGTTTTCTATAAGAGTCTGACTTTATTGTCTGTATTTAATATCTACTTACACTCAAATAAAATATGTGCAAATCGTGCTGATAGCTATGGAAGACGTTTAAAGCTCATACAATCGTGAGTTGTAATATGAGGGCAATTTTGTTTTGTAAAATTTGAAGTTTTATTTTTTCAAAAAGGTTGACTGAGATATAACATAGAAATATGCAATTTGTTTGATTTATGCATTTCTCGTCAATTTATAACCTTAATAAACAAACAAGTAACTTCAAGTTACAATTTTATCGGCTTTGCAGGTTTAATTGTGATGAATCCTTTTCGTTTTCAATTTCTGTATCGCTCGAATGATGGAATTACCTCATTACTCATTTTGACAGGGGAATATATAGTACATTATCACAAATTATGATGATTTACAATTATAAATTTCCGGCTAAATATCTACAGTATTAGCATAGATAATAATAGACCTCGTGTCGTCCTATTATTTATTTTAATTTCATTCATAGCTATCTGGCAGTGATTTCCAAAGTTTAAATATAGTATTTTTGTTTATTCAACAACCCTCATATGAACCCTTGTTATCACGCTAGCTTAAGAAATTAAAGAATACGTTAAACTCAAATTAAAACGTCTCTCAAGAGAAATGTTTGCTTATCATTTCTGCAACTACATTTTTTTCAGAATGTTCAGGTATAGTTAATGTGTTAAGTGACGCTGCTATCGTTTGGAATATAGTAAATAACTTTGTTCAAAATAAGTAAAAATCTAAGGACGACCTAACAGAAATGATTGTCTGCTACGGTTGCTTTTAAAGTAAATAAACTTTGCTTTTTGAAATGTTTCTTTTCTTGACAATCCTTGAAGATTTTGACAGTACAGATGCGATTATAGAAGATCCCGATGTTTTTGTGAAAGCCCTTTATTTATGTAATATCACAATTTATAAAAATATAGAAATACATACAGAAATAGATAGTTTCAAAGTTCATTAACAAAAGTTAAGATTAATGATATAAAATAACATTATCATAAGTAGATGATAATGTAAACTGTCGCTTGTGGCACTGCTTGTATCCGAGTCCGATTGAAGCTCAAATTCTATTGGATAATGATCGCTTACGTCAAGAGAAAACGATTGATTCAACTGAAATTCCGTATCGAACTTAAAAACCTTTGCACTGCCATTGACCACGCCTGTTTCAAATCCAGAACCTACAGATATGAATCTGTCATAAGCACAATTAGTATTAGCGACGGTTGTATCAGACTCGTCGCCAATCCACCATGTGTAAGAAGGATTAGATTTAATGAGAATTGTTTCCCATTTATAATTAGGGACATAACTGCAGTCTGCATTGAAGTCTCCCATTATCATTATATCTTCAATGTTTAGATTTGTTTTAATGTCATCAAACACTTTCTTTAGAGCTTGCAATTCTTTGACTGCCTCTGACGGCGAGATGTGTAACCCGGCCAAAACAAATCGTTTTAACTTTGTCGAGGTAGACGTAAATGAGACGATGTATGGCTCTCTTTCAAATGTATCCACCGTTACGCCATCTGAGTTCAGGTTTTCATCTCCGTCATCATACACGTATTCTCTGTCCACCTGTAAGCCTGAGTTCTCCCTGTATAGAAAGGCGTATTGTTCTTTACTATTACTACGCCCTAGCCGGGGACTAATTTTCATCGTAAACGGATTTCCTCCGCTGTTTTCATTCACTTTGTCCAGAAGCTTTAGGATTGCGTCGCCTGATGCGTCACGTATTTCTTGAATAAGGATTATATCATACTTTACAATGATATCTACCAGCACCTCGACAACATTTACTTCCTTCATTTTACTGGCTCCGAAGATTTGAACATTGAATGCACCTATTCTTAAACTATTCGTTTTACAAGTAACGGTATTCAACACGCATATGTGTGACACTATCATGAAATAGAATAAATTGTATAAATTAAAGGCTTTCATTGTTATACCGTCAAACTTGACTTCCTTGTAATGAATTATCCGTTTATAGCTTTAGTATATAAGTCCGTACTATTATGATGGTAACTTTCAAATATTTACATACATACATGTACATTTTATTGTCAATACACAAATCGATATTTACAAACTCCTTGTCCACTTTATAGACACTTAATTCAGATCTACTTGAGGCAATAGACCAAATGGTTTACTACATGTACGTTATATATATTAACACACCATCTTTACTGACAGTTATGTATAAATGCATGGGTAACTTTTCAAACTATTACACTAATTTCCGCATGATTAACAATTTATAATGCAGGGGAAATTATTTTACAGTAGGAATACCCTGCAAATTGTACCAATTAAATTTCCTTACACCCCTTGCATTTATAATATACAGGTCGATATGAATATTCTGAATAAAGGTCAAATAAAGTTAAGTTTCATCTTTACTATGTACACAGTGTGTAAACGTATTTATAAACGTCCTTTGCTAGCAAAATATTCAAACAAGTTGACAAAAAATCAAACAAGTTGAAATTACTATATTTGCAATAAATCATACAGTGGATGCTTGTGCTCACATTGAATTGTATAAACTCGCAATAAATGATTCAATGATTTCGTATACCGACTTTGATATATCCTGTACGGAAATAAAATAGTAAAAGCGTTGACTGTTTAGAAAGGGAGACAAAAATAATTTACGCTCTAAATGTACTTTACATTTGTTTCCCTTGTTTACATTATGTTTTACCGAGGACACCTTTTTGCACTTAATAAGATTACCGTTTCGCTAAATTTTGTCACAATTGTACCAAAAGTCAAATAATTGAATGCAATATACCTTAATAATGAAATATATTTTCACTAAAGACATAACTCATAAAAACATGTCATTTGTGACCTTTCCGATAATGTATAATCATCATTACATCGTGATAGAATTTTCCATGGCTTGATTTCTGATCACTAAGGAACAGAACAGAACATATCAAAATAAAATAAAACATCATACTACACAACATGGAATTAGACATGCATGATTGACAGGAAGTGTCGGACTTCACAGATGAAATTATGAACAATAAAATCTGTAATGATAACACCTGACAGATTAAACGAAACGAAACAGCAAACAATAAAACTGAACATGTATAAGGTGTTTTTATTAAAGTTTGCTAGCTTATTATTATACAAACGATCCTATGAGACTTGCAACATCGCCGTGATTAATGAGTAAATAAGTAAGCTTGTAAGACGGTGTATTAAGTACCATTGGCCGTAAAACCAAATTTGATATTGTGTAGTTGGGATATAGAAGCAAACGATAAAAAGAATTATTGTGTACACGTGTCTCTATGGAAATTGTATTTTTCCAGATGTGTCAATTCTCCGACAGACCGACAAATCTTTTTATAATGCTTCAGTACTACTAATAATAATTCAGTATTTGGTCTTAAAATTTGTTTCCATTATCAAATATAACTGCCCAGAATGCGATAAGTCACAATGTCATGTCTTAAGACTGAAGAAAAATATCGGTAAAAATCATTTTTAATACAATAAACAAACCTTATACGAGTACTTAATGGAAAGATAATTCGTATAAACTTAGTGAATTTTATATAAGGATTGTCGCCCCTTTTTATTAGGCGTCATATCTAATATGATAAAGTTTTCAATAATGTAAAGTTTTAAATGACTTTTGAAACATTGTCAATTATATACACTTATTTCATGCTTTCCGATGTTTAATTGTAATATATCAGATGATTATATTCCGATAAACCACTAGTGAAATTTATAAAATATAATTTTCACTGTAGCCGGACTATATCTGAATGCGGATGAAAAGAAAATCATAACTAAATGGAATAACAGACAGAAATAAATGCCGTCATACGTAAATTTTGTTTCTTTAGGAAAAGAAAGTCGATGTCATCATACATCATGTTAAAAAATGTATCAAAATTAGAGAAATTTAACAGAACTATATTTCAAAATTGATGACGTGACGCCATGATGAAATGACGTCACAAAGTAGAATGCGCGACGTTACGCGGCAAAATCAGTAATCAGATACTTAAACTCACTTAAAAAGCATTAAATAAAAAGAAAATTTATTTGTTTTACATATAAGATTGAAATATATTTCATTCGTGAACACCAGCTATTATATTTTCACTCGTGGCTACGCCACTCGTGAAAATATTGCATCTGGTGTTCACTCAGTGAAATTATATTTCAATCTTACATGCAAAACAAACAAAATATCCTCTATCTAATACCCCAACTATGCTACTCTTTTACCAAGAAACATTAGTTTTATCTAATTGTGGCTTTTGCAATCAGTTCTTTTTAAGTTTGGCAGTAAGACACAAATTGGTATTCGAAAAACAAACCATAATATATGTGTAAGTACATAATACCTATCATATAATGTTATTTGTAATAATTATATGATTTCTGGTGACTTATTGGCCCATGAGACGGGCGCTATGTTATTGTTTCTTGTAGATATGTATAGTAATAGATATGCGTAAACTATTTACATTTACTTTCTTAATTACTCTTGTACCTGTTAAAAATCCATTCTTCGGCGATGAAAGACTCCAAGTCGCATATATACGATATATAATTGTATTTGAAGCCGGTTGACAAAAGATTCGTGGTATCGCACCTTATTCATTTTATTCTTAAATGTTTTCTGTGAAAGCTTGAAAAAAGGGAAGTTTGCCTTCGAACAAATGATGTTCATTGAACATAAAAATGTTTACATTTTTCTTTCTTTCCATTAATAATAAAGCGTTATCGGAATTGATACATGTATACTGAAATAACTGATATACTGAAATACTGAAAAACAGAACGTGGTGAGTCACGGACATGATGTCTCGGTGACTGACCATACGTTACTTAAATCATCATCCACCATACCATATAATGAACATATTTATATACTGTAACTACTTGTTTTCAAACAAGATGAATAAACAGAGTTAATTATTCCGTAAATAGTAGCTACAGTCCAATTAATTTCCCCATCAAACGTCTAAATGTAATGAAAATAGCCTCATATCTAGGTTTGTAATTAATGTAATTATTAAGTGTATTAATATCAAATGGTTTATGACATTTATCATAAGATAACGGGGGTTTTAGGGGCGTGAACTGTGAACGTTTTTCTGTTTCCATATTACGCCGTTATCAGACCAGCGCCCACTTCCATCAGTCTTAAAAGGTAGGGCGGTGCTGTTTGATGTAAGACTTTTAGATATATACTTAATGAGAAATTTTGATATTGTACTATATATTGCCTTAATTAAATGTAAATGTATTTGGCGACTTGGACGTTTTTATGTTCAAGTCATATTAATCCGGTTAATCCGGAGGGAACTTTAAGTTTACCCTACGTTCGTCTGTTCGTCCGTCCGTTCATCAGTTCGTCCGTCTGTCTGTCTGTTCGTCTGCTCATAAAACTTGATCCCATGATAACTCAGAAGGTACTAAAAATATTTTGATGAAACTTGAAATATGGGTAGATGGCAGTCTGGATAGAATGCACATCTTTTTTTTTCTTCCTAAGTTGAAAAAATTAGTTAATATGGCAACAATAAGACCTAAAATATGGCAAATATAACAATATTTGTGATACCTCAAAAAGTACATGATTCATATATAATTATATACATGATAAAATATTATTAAGGTGATGTCAGACAAAATTAGTATGTAATAATATTTTAATTTTTCATGTAAAGAAACTGTTTTTTGTGACGGAGCTTATCATAAGAAATAGCAAACTTCTTTTTTCAAAAATTGATTTTACTAATAATTTCAATCAAAATGCATAAGTGAAATGTATATGTAAATATCAATTTGAAGAGTTTTCATTCGCTTTTTGAGACCTGTAAGACAGATGTGGGTTAAACATTAAATACATTCTTTGTCAAACTATTTTCTATAAGTATGGCCTCGTTTTAAATTAAAACGTAAAACCTATTGAGTAGGCAATCTATTTTGTGGCATAACTTTACAGCTGAAATGGAATAAATCGACTTTTCGCAATTAAGCCGATTGTACTATTTTGTAAAGAATTGTATTTATGTTAAACATTATAATTTCTCAATAATAAGAAGTGACTCAGTCAGAGTTATATGACCCATATATTGATAAAACTAGCCTACACCTAGGCTTTGAAATCCATTATTGATCATAAATTCTATAGTAAAAAGCATTTCACAATAAACCTTTGAGTAACCCGATTGATATCTGTAAAAAAAAAAAGAAAGGCCAATATATCTATTAGTAATCACCATCGTGAGGATGGGTTCAAAGTTATTTCAATAATTCAGTTAATCATAAAAAAGTATTATGTTAAAAAAGTATTATGTAACTTTATACGCCGTTTCCACATGTTTCAGACGTTTTCTTTTAAAGAATGGTTCAAAATACATTTTATGCGCCCGAAGACACCATATCCCAAAAAGGTAGCATGGTATGGCGTTATCGTCCGTCTGTATCCGCAAAATAACATTTAAAGGATTTCAATGACTGCATTTATAACAAGTATGTCAAAATGTTGTTTAAAACAACCAGAGACGTCTAAATGTATTTATATGTCTCTGAAACAACGCAAGTTGAGCCCGATCTTCACAATCACTTGATAGAGTTATGGCCCTTATTTGCACGTTTCATGTGCCTTTGCGCCTTTCTATGGGTCACGTGTTACGTCATAAGTATGTAATGTTCACACAATTATTTCAGATGTACTCTGGTTTATATCATTTTGATGTAAAGTTTTTGTTCAGACAAATGAAAGTAAAGTAAGTTCAAGTGTCTAGATCTCAAAAATATTTTTTCTTTCACATCAACGGAGAAATCATCGTCGGTGTCATTTACAGTCTAAAATATATGTACTGTATGATAGCCACTCATAAATTTACTAATCTTGGGCGTAAATTGCCCCGTCGCAGTGGAAATCTTAATATGACATCTCAATTTAATTTGGCATACTCAATTTCAAAGTTTTTGGTTTTAGTATTACACGTGTAAAACAATTGGTTGTTGGTGAATCCAATAATACATGTAATCGAAATTTTATTCAAAACGTCTGAAACGACAGTTAAGTCATTTCCTCCGTATCTCCCAGGAATGGATCACCTTAAACAAAACTGAAATACATATACACGTATACCAAAAACAACCTTCTTAAATGATCTGCGCTTTGTTTTAGTTTTGTAATAAGATGT